GTCAGACTCATAAGACAGTCACAACAACCTTTTATTTCTATTTTTTTTTTTTATTCTGTGCTGGGCGAAAAAACAGGCCAGATGTAAATATGTAAAAAAAAATTGTGAAATGTAAAATCAGATTTCGGAAGGAAAAAGTAAAAAAGGCAGAACTGGGAAAAGATAATTAATTAATTGTGAGATAAAAAGTCGCAATTCCCTTTTTAATTTGTTTACTCTCTGCCGGAAACAAAAAACAAAAGTGAGATGTAAAGACAGAATTCCAAGAAAAAAAGTCAGAATTGTGAGCGGAAAGGAAACATTCTTCAACTCTTGTCTAAATTGTGACGTAGAATGTTGCAATTGCACAAAAAAAGTCAGAATTGTGAGATAAAAAGTTACAACTACCTTTTTTTTATTCCATGACGAAAACAAAGAACAAAATCGCAAAACGTAAAGTCAAGTTTCTGAGAAAAAAATGAAGAATTGTGATATGTAAACTTGAAATTGCAGGTTTATAACTAAATGTAGATTTAGATCTTCTAGGGCAGGGGTGGTGAACGTCGGTCCTGGAGAGCCTAATCAAACACACCTGAACAAGCTAATCAAGGTCTGAAGGGTTATTAGGAAGCTACAGGCAGGGGAGTTTTCATTAGGGTTGGAGCTGAACTCTGCAGGACCGGAGTTCACCAGTCCTGCTCTAGAGCAGGGTTCCTCAAATCTTGCCCTGGAGGCCCAATGCGCTGCAGAGTTTAGCTCCAACCCTGATCAAACTCAGCTACCTGTGATTTTCTAATGATCCTGAAGACATTGATTAGCTTGCTCAGGTGTGTTTGATTAGGGTTGGAGCTAAACTCTGCAGGAAAGTCGATCTCGTGGGCCAGATTTGAGGATCCCTGCTCTAGAGTGTCTGTTTTCAGAGTTTCTGCAGGTCTGAGGAAGGTAAATGTAAGACTTTTAAAGAAAATGTAATTAATTAACTGAATGGAAATGTCAATATGTTCTCTAAATATAAATGTCTTGTTTTAGCAACACATCAAAGTTCATCACCAGGGGTTAAAGCAAAAAAACAAAATCCCGAGCCTGAACTTTTTTCCGGGGGCACAGTTCTGGATTGTTATGATTCTCGATCCCCCTGTTTTTAGTCACTATGGTTCCAGATCAGCTCTGAATAATAACAACAGTTGTAGATAATCGTGGTTCTAGATCAGCATGTTTCTGTATAATCTGAATAATAATGGTTCTAGATAATCATTGTTCTGGATTTGTTGTGATTCTTTCACCATATTTTGAGTCATTATGGTTCTAGATCAGCTCTGAACAACAACAACAATAATAATAATAACAATAATAACAGTTGTAGATCATCGTGGTTCTAGAGCAGTATGTTTCTGTAGAATCTGAATAATAACGGCTCTAGATAATAATTGTTCTGGATTGTTGTGATTCTCGATCAGCATGTTTTGAGTCATTATGGTTCTAGATCAGCTCTGAATAATAATAATAATAATAATAATAATAGCAGTTGTGTGGTTCTAGAGCAGTATGTTTCTGTAGAATCTGAATAATAACGGTTCTAGATAATAATTGTTCTGGATTGTTGTGATTCTCGATCAGCATGTTTTGAGTCACTATGGTTCTAGATCAGCTCTCACCGTGCAGGTCTTTCTGCGCGATGTTCTGCGTCCGGATGAGCGACGACAGCCTCCGCACGTCTCCCCGGAACACGCACTCATGCACGGGATACGCGCCGTCAGTGTCGCCGTGGTTCTGGTTCTGGTTCTGCTGCGAGCTGGAGCGGAGGATCTTGTGGTTGCCGCCGCTGAGGATCTTGCTGCCGCGGCTGGCTTTGCTCGGCCCGGTGTCCGCCGGCTCCTCGTCCGGCTCCAGCAGATCCAAACCCGCCTTGCGCTCTTTGCGCACCGAGCGGATCTTCTCTCCCGTCATATTTACACAGATGCACGGTGGAAAACAGCAGCCCGCACAACATGAACACTGTCCGGTGACTCAGCGGAGACGGACGGGAATGAAACACGCACCGGAGCCACGCATCGAACGGTAAACAAACGACACACACTCACACACCCTACGAGGAAGAGCCATCTGCCATCTTCCGCTCGCAGTCTCGCGAGAGTCACGGGCGGGTTTAATGAACACAGCGCGGAGTCTCGCGAGAACGAGGGGACACCCTCATTGATATATGTATTGATATATATATATGTGTGTGTGTGTGTGTGTGTGTGTGTGTGTGATATGAAAAGAG